ATTGAGTTGAACAATGAATGATGGTATCTGTTTTGAGATGCATATTTCAAAATCTTCCTTATGGAACCTGTGATTTTTCACGAATTATGCGTGTTCAACTAGGTCTAGGTTTCTTCTTTATATAATGTGGTCGTCACCTTCGTTGGAATTTCTGAACTTTTTGAGATGTGAGATATCTCAATCAAAATAATGCTCATCATATAACGTGTAATTTAGTAGAACAATATTGATACCGTTACTTGAGTTGTGAGCATTCTGTTTTCCTCTTCATTGTGACTTGCGATCTTGCTTTTTATGATTCACTGTTTCTTTTTTGAATTTTTAATCTTCAGCAGTGACAGATAATTATAAGCAAGAGAACATCACTACTGTAAATGCAAGAAAAGCTAGGGCTTTCCTGTGTGTTCTTCAGGTTGTACATCTGAGTGGCTTTAATTTGTTTAAATTTGGGGCTTTTGTGATTTGGGACTTATAAATGGTTTGAAATTTACGTTTTTCTAATTTTAGTTCCCACTCAGAAGTTTGTACTGCCTCATCATTAGAACTTTTTCCTTCTGCTCTTCTTCTCGAAACAAGGTCGCAGATCCACAGGCCATCAAGGTATGTCATTTAATTATATATTGTATATGTATGTATTGTATTATGCATGTGTGTGAATGCATTTTTCTCTGTTAATCTGTATTGGTTTTCTTCTAATTTAGTTAATGGAGTTTTGTTTTTATTTCACATAATTTGGTTCATGCTAAAGTTATTGAACGTACGATGGAACCAGTGATCTTTCAAAAAGATTGGTTCTTCTATATTTTTATCCTTTTGGTCGTTTTGAATGGACTTCTTGTATTCTAAATGAAGCTAAATTGAATAGCTGTTTTTGTATACTGTAACTGCTTTGTTAAATTAGTTCTTTTTTGTTGAAAATGTTATTTGGTTTTGCAGATCAAAGTTTTTCAGCAAGAACATTATCTGTCAAATTAAATTTAGATATGAATACTTACATTTATTTAGCATTTTAAGTCTAATATTAAATTGTAAAAGTTGGACGGTGGCTTAGTTGGTTCTACTTCTGCATTTCCTCTTCATTAAAATGTTTACTTACCTGCTTTTAAGCGTCTTTATCTATATATCTATTTTTTAAAATGAAATTTAAAGATGTTATAGAAATTGGAAAGAGTAGCAGATTGAGAACATAGTATGGGAACTTTGGGAAGGAATACTCGAAAGGAAGATTGACAATGGGTTAGCGGTAACTCCTTTTTTAAATCATATTCTATTCCATAATATTACACTATTGCGTCTGGAATAGCAACATTTATTCGGTGTCTGGAATAGTAACATTTATTCGTTGTCTAGAATAGCAACATTTATTCGGTGTCACCTAGAACGTTTGTTGTTGTATCATGTCATATGTTTTTTTAAGTTGGAGATTTTGTAGGTAGCCAGTCGAGGAAATGGCCCTCAGTTTCTAATTACCGAGCTAAAGTTCATGCTCAATCAGCAAAGTAGATATGATTGCTTCTTTGTTCAAGCCTGTGTTGAATAAAAATGAATAGGATTATAATTAGGATAGCTTCTTTCATCACTTACATTTACTTTGCCACATAGATTTTGTATTCTATCTAATTATAAAAATACTTCTGTTGTATTTGTTTTATGGAGAGAATAAAGTTGCATAATTTTTCATACAATTTTCCATCCCGCAGCAACGCGCGGGTACAATTTCTAGTTTGAGTCTATTTCTGAAAATGCTCAACACCATTGTGGTGAAAAAAAAAACAAAGCCATGGAGATCTAGTTCACAAATTGGCTGTAGATTAAAATTTCTTTAGAGTTAAGGGTTTATGATGCTAAGCCATAATACCAATTATGGAAGAATTGAAAGTTAATGAAGACACTGAAAGTTGATAATGCTAAAGCCAGATCTCACATCATGCAAATGGTTCTTTTTGGCAACGGTTGAAGGGATCTGAACCGTTGATTGGCCCCTTACTAATTTTTTACTATCTTATTTTTACAGTTGACCATAAGTGCTAAAACCGTTCTCAAATAACCAAAAATGCAAGGACTTCATTTTTAGTTGAACAAAAGTGCTTAACGCGTTTTGAAATAATAACAAATGCTTTCAACAAAAACCTTGTGTAATTCTTTTCATTATTGCAGTCTCGCTGGGAAGGAACATTACTCTGAACCCTTTTCGACCTTTTCATATATGATGGCTACATAAGGGACCTTTACAATTAAATTTTGTTTAGTAATCGTTGTTTTAATCATTGATCAGTAGTGCACAGTCAACTTCATGATCTGCGTTAGTTTGGTACCCAAATCAGGGTCATATTTTGGTTAATTTGACATCAAATGCAGGGTTTGGATTTTGGAATTGGATGGTTAGTAATTCTTGCAAAATACTTTTAATTTACCAAGCTACATATATCAGATACAAAAGCAATGCAAATATTATAAATTTATAATTATACGGTGTCTCTGTTTATTAGAACAAACCAATAAATTAAACAAGCAAAAAGGGGAGCCTCTCACCTCTAATTAATTTACTAGCGAGGAAGGGAGGGCTTCATAACCCATATGACATATTTTTGTGCATTGCAACAAAATTAAGCTATGAACAAAGGAAAAGGACAAAACATATGCCCAAAATTAAGTTATTTACAATGTCACACGTCATAATAATCGGATTCTAACGGACCATTTGGGATAGATAGAAATTTCTAGAGACACACTAGGAAGTATTTGTAATTTGTTGAGATGGAAAATCCTATTTAGCGACGGCTTGGATCCACTCCGACAGTCTTGAGCGTCGCCGCCGTGCGAGGCCTGCAAGTTTCAACCAACAGCTAGCCTTCGTTAGGATAATGTACGAAAGTATTACAATCCACAAAAAATGTTTCAATTAGACAATATAAGATGTTTATGGAAAACGAAATCATTGATCAATTTAATAATTCTTATTTGGATGCCTAATATTTAGAAATATTAACAAATCAACATAACATTAATTTTGCCAGATTTTTTATCTGCCAATATAAACATTCTACAATTAGAATAATTCGTGCATAAAAAATTACGAGCACGTATATATTTATGTATGTATGTATACCGAGTAAAAGGGTCATGCTGGACTGAATCAGGCATGGATGGGCTGCCGGGCTCCTGAATGTGGCCAACCTTCCTCAGGAAAGATTTGTTGATAAACTTGTCGGATGAGCTAACGGCAGCATCTGGGTTGTCAACCTCGTACATGGCCCTCTTGTTCTTGTTGACCACAACCATCGGGGCATGCATAAGCTGCTGTAGAGCACTATGCGTCCCAATCGTCAGAGGCACAATTAGGAACCCTAGCAGCACAGCAACGGGTGCGTTCTCTGGCTTTCTAAGAAATTTCCTGGTTGGATCGATGGCATACATAAACTAGTTAATATGCGTAACATATAAAATTCCATGACCACTTGTTATTTATCATCATCAATCTTCATTTCTAACTAGTTATCGCTTAATCACTTCAATATATATACCAGATGCTCGACATGGTAGACTGAGCAGCCTCACTATCACGAACATTTTCTGCAAAATGTTTCATCTTCGGAGCGGCGGAGGTTGCAAAAGCTCGGTTCCCTCCCGCCGGAGCCAGCATTAATCTCAACTCGTTCTACACAAACCCACATTAATAATCATTTCACCAATTGACATCATCATCATAATTAATGTATCACGTTATTAAGGCAGTCGAATCAAATCAAAGGGATCGTCATAAAACAAAACAAATTATCGAAAAGAAGAACTTTGGTAGACTTACGATTGCCCGGAAAGCCATTTTGGTACACTTACGGTTGCCCTGAATTTTGGTACTCAACAGTTAACAAGATTCTGGCTCAATATATAATTTGGATGAAATGATGATGTTTACCTGTACTATATATATCCTTTGGGTGACAAACACGTACACTTATATAAGGAGGGATTAGAGAGGTCGTGGCTTTTGCTTGACCGCTAATTGGCAATGGCATGAGAATGGTCCACTCCGACTCCTATCTAGACGGTTCGACTCCTATCCAAACGGCTGCAGATGGCACGGTGCCAAGATAGCAACCCCTACCGATCATACGTTAATTGCTATAGTTGGTTTACCATATGAATCACAAGCTCTGAATTGCTATAGTTGGGAAGAGAATTAACTTAATGGAAGGCATGCATGCCTATGATGATATGTATGTCCATTGTTATTGTCTTTTGAATAGTTACAACTTCTGCATGTGATCTGCATGTCCATTGTCATGGATAGGAAAATCAATGTGGGACCTTGTAATAGGCTTATTGTAGAGGAAGTCGGATCTTCAAGTTGTAAGGTCCAACGTTCAGGATGTGAATTACGTGTCATGTTTAATATGTTCTGCCAATGTAAATGATTTGTAGCTTAAACGATAAGAGTTTATATAACTCTTTTTAAAAAGAATGGGGCAGCGCAAGCATTGTCCACTTTTCTTGTAGGGTTACATAAAACTTGAAGATATTTTTGGATTATAAAAACACATTTCGTTGGGCAAAAAAGCTCTTGAATTAACAAAACGTAGGCCTCCAATAAAAATTACTTATTAGCATAAGTAGGTTTTAGGGCTGGTTTGACACTACTGAAATTATTTTAAAAGCAGTTTTTAAAAAAGTTAGGGTTAAATTTGTGTTTGGTAAATGAAAAAAAAATGCTTTATGTCAAAATCATGAGTCCAAAACACCATAAAGCAGAAGCAGCTCTACTCTTACTTCTGAAAACAACGTTTTTTTTTTTCACAACACAGCAATTTCAAACTAGCTCTTACAAAAGCATTCTCAAAGGGATCGTAACAGGTTACTAGCTAGGCCTGATTTTTGGAAATATGATTGGAATTTAGTGGTTCCAACTCCAAGTTCACTCCAAAATTGTTTGAAATAACTCACTGACTAACCAAACCAAACCAAACCATATGAACATTTACACTCTCGAAGAAGTTCACATTCTTACAATATAAAGAGCATAACCATTACAATTTCATTAAGGCACCCTTACTTTTGGTCCATCACAACACAAAACAAGTTGATAAAAAAAAAAAGTAAAAAACCACACTTGAAGATCAGATGGATTTACTAAACCAAGTCAGTTGAAATAGGCAGAGGATGAACCCAAATCAAACCCATCGATACCCGCTTCGGAGACAGGTGGCATGCTCCCAAACAATGGGCTGTGCTGCACAAACTCGTTCGAGTCAAAGCCCACATAGGACCCACTCACCAATGAGTCCAGTCCATTGTTCGTCGTGGGGTCTGAAAACTCGTAAAAGCCTGACTCATTCCAAACTCCGTCCGAGCTCATAATGCCGCCTTCGGGCCCATAACAAGTGGAGGAGGAGACACAAGCAGGCAAAGGTGGTAGCTCGTGAGTGTGAGATTGAGACTGTAACCCGGATTCATCAGCAACAACACCAAAAGCGGGCACGTAAGACCCGCTTTCATACTCTGCTGATGAACTTCCAGAGAATGAGTAGGCATCAAATGGGTCCTGATGAGTGAAGAAGGACTGCTGAGTGTGTGTTTGGGATTGGGCGTGGGTTTGGGGAAGTGGGGTGGTGAAGAACGCTGACATGTCTTCCTCGGGTGAGATAATGGAGGTGACAGACGAGCCATGTGGCATGTCCGAGTAGACAAAGTTGGTTCGAGCCTTGGAACCGCGCATGGAGCGAGCGGATCGGTCGTAGGCCAAGGCGGCCTCCTCCGCCGTGTCAAAGGTTCCGAGCCAATGCCTCTCTTTGGTCGAAGGGTCTCGTATCTCGGCCGCATATCTGCCCCACGGCCTTCTCCTCACTCCAAGAAACCTAGTCTCCTGCTGGGTTTGTTGTGGTTGCTGGGTTTGCTGCCGTTGTTGCTTTCTTTTGGTTTTGGTTGAAGAAGGTGGCGAGTTGTTTGATTTAGAAGGTGAGTTGGTGAAGAAGTCCATGGATTTAAACAATATAAAGAAAAAGAAAGAAGTGTTTCTTCAAATGTCTGTGAGATAATGCGTTGGATAGAGATGTCAGTGATGACTACTAGAATTTTTAGAGAAGGGAATGACTGTAGGCTTCTTGGGTTTTCGTCCGTTGCATGTTGGGGTGTTTAAATAAGGGAGATTATTGTGTTATTAGTTAATTAATATTAATGATATATTAATCTTGTGTTATAGTGATTTTTTGGTGTAATTGGAAAACCGCCACATGATTTTGTCGCTTTGCTAAAGTTATAACATATTTTTTGTTTTTTTTAACCAATATACATTAAAAGTGAAACCTATTAATCATGTCAAATTTCTATGTTATAATACGCTTTAAGCACTAAAATTCCTCCTTATATTTACAGAGTTAAGTTGTCAAATGATGACCAATCTCAATTCTCTCACACTCGCGCATGCTAATCATCTGAAAATTTGGGTCCACCTTTTTTGTATGAGTGACATCAAGTAAGTCTGCCAGGGGCGAATTATCCAAGGCTGAGGGCACCTGGAGGCCATTGTTCTCTGAATATTCTCGCATCCTATATGTTCATCGTATATCGTACTGTTATATATTATTTTGAAATTTATAATTAAATATCAAAAGTACTTAACAAAAACTGACCGTATGATGTAAAGAAAACATATATGATATGAGGATCTCTAAATTCCTCACAAAAAGAATCTAAAGAGGATCCTTATCCCTTGCTACTGACAGCAACTTTAATCCCTTGATAATTTATTTGTTAAAATCTAGTTTTTTTTAACAAAACCCTAATTATATCACCGCTCGCGGAACCTTTGCAATATATGCATTAGATTTCCTATTGATTGAATAAGTACTAATAATACATTTGCTATCTTGTTTACTTGGCATGCATGATTAGCAACTTATGGCCATTATTATCCTTGTGTGCTGATTCCTGTAACTTTGTTGCAAGTTCATGTTCTTAATAATTAGGAACATATTTTCAATTGGATTAAATATTATAATGTAGTACTCTCAAAGTTCATATTATCATATCTAACCTAAGGTTTGATTGCATGTGCCTTAGGAAGGAAGGAGAGAGAGAGTCTGACTTTGAATGGATGATGTGCTATTAATAGATTTTTTAGTGTGCCTCAAACATTGACACATATACTATATGTCATTATAAGGTAGAGGGACACTTGTCAAAAAAAAAAATCTTCCACTTTGTATAATAACATATGGGGTATCATCCAGTGTTCTGGATACATTAAAAAAAATCTAGAAAACTAAATTTTAATCCTTAAATAAGATGCAGTTTAGAAAAATGTTTTATACAAAAATTGATTTTAGTCCCTAGACTCTATTTAATGCCAGCACATGTATTCAATTTCTCTTTTTTATTATAATTTTATGGTGTTCATAAATTAAATTTTATGAAAATAATGTTTTTGCATATTTTCTTTCGTGCCACTAATTCATTACAATATATTTAGGTAAAAACATTTATGTACACTAATTTAGTATAATATATTATGATACGAACGTTCACTAATTAGAGGAAGTTAAATAAAATTAATGAATTAAAATGTGTATAATAGTAAATTTAAAATTTAATGTAACGGCATTAAATAAGATATTTGTTAAATATTAAAATAAAAATATAACATGAATTTGAATTAAGTACTCGTTAAAGAACTAAAATCAATATCCAATTTAACACCAAGTTTTTATTAATTTTAATCTTCTACACTATTGTAGTAATCAAATCAAATTGTACTATGAGCATGCACGCCTGAGAAGAAGTTTTATATATCCAAAACCGAAAAGCTTTGTAAAAGGAGTCACCAGCAACATATGATTGCTCAATACATCTCAAATCTCTAATCATCATTCCAGTAATCATTCAATTGTCAGGACGCATCATTGATCATCCCAATGCAATTATGTAAATCACCATGCATGTTAATACTACCTTTATCTTTTCGAGCATATATACTTAGATCATCCCCAAGATTTTCTTTCTTTTAGTTTCACTTTCAACTAAAATGGACATAAACTGTCGAACTATATGAAAACAAAATATTTTGTAATCTATTTCTAACATGCTAGATCGTTCCAAATCAATTGCATCGATTAAGTAAGCTTTTATCTGATGTATTGTTTAAATTTACAGTCTAAATTATATTATCACGCGAATAGGCAAATGATATTGTTCTATATATGCATAGATAATCTATATATAAAGTCAATGAAAAAGTGAATAGTGATTTTGGTGTCACCAAGCTTCAACAAAAAAATTTTGCCCCCAAGACAAAAAAACTTCAAAGGTATCCCAAAATAATGCATCAAATAAGGTAGGGGCATTTTCGTCATTTTAACATTATTTTTTTAATAATTAAATTTTTTTGTGTTGTTTTTTTTTTAAATTAGTGATTCACAATAGACTAGTAATAATGTGATTCAATTTCTCTATTTTTAAACACGTTCAAAACATCTTAAGCAGCGTGTAATGCCTGTTATAATAAAAGGTTTTTCGTAGATAATAATGTGATTAAATTAGCTGTCAAATGATTATTTTTTTAACAAACGATATTATCTACACTAAGGGGGAGGGGGTGGACTTAGCCTCACAATGGGCTAGCAATAATGTGATTAAATTAGTTGTCAAATGATTGTTTTTTTTTTTTTACAAACAATATTATCTACGCTAAGAGGGAGGATGGTGGGCTTAGTCTCACAATGGGCTAGTAATAATGTGATTAAATTAGTTGTCAAATGATTGTTATTTTTTTTTTAAACAAACAATATTATCTACACTAAAGGGGAGGGGTGAGCTTAGTCTCACAATGGGTTAGGAATAATATGATTCAATCAGTTGTTTATTCAATATTATTTTCTTTATTTTTAAACACGTTCAAAACATCTTAAGATGTGTGTAATGCTAGTTATAAAAAGGTTTTTCGCACGCGAATAATAATATGATTAAATTAGTTGTCAAATTATTGTTTTTTCTTAATTAATGATATTATTTACACTAAGGGGAAATGGTGGGCTTAGTCTCACAATAGGCTAGCAATAATATGATTCAATCAATTATTCATTAAATATTATTTTCTCTATTCTTATTGTAAATTCTATAGAGACCGATTTTATTATGTGAATTCAACTGCTTTAATTGGTTTATAAGGGGTTTCTTCTAGCATGATATAAGATTATTCATTTACTTCAAATATTTGACTTTCCTTTTATCAATTTACGCAAATAATTACATTTAAAATGTATAAGCCGTGCGTAGTACGCTGCAATTTAAAAAATACCTTATCTACGTGCGTGAACGCGTCCACAAAGGCTAGTCATAAATAATATAATTACAATTGCAAAAAGGGTCATGTTACTCTATACAGCATAGGAAGACTTTTAGGTATATGCAACAACATGGGGAATATAATTTTCTCAGCCACGTGGATCCAATTGGAGCTTATATATAGTATAATAATATGTTCCGCACCTTCTTTCCCAACTTTTCAAACCAAAAATTTTGTTTCATAATTCGTTTATTTCCATGGAAAGGGCTTTTTCCTCTTTTATATTTTGGTGAGTTCGGAGTGTTAAGAGTTGTTTCAAATCGGTGAAGGACAAGGTTTGCTATGTGCTTATTTGATTTTTGGCTACTACTCATATTGCCAATTGATTTTATGGTGGAACCCTAATTTCATCATGTATCAGAGTCAGGTTGTCCTTGTGTGAAACCAAAAGGCCACACGCGTTTCACGTCACCCATTTGTTGTCCACGTGTAGGCTTGAAAATCAGCCACACATACGGGGGCGTGTTGAGAGTTGTCCCACATCGGTGAGGGACAAGGTTTGCTATGTGCTTATATGGTCTTGGACTACTCCCCATATTACCAATTGATTTTAAACGTTGATAAACGTGCTCATTTTCTATTAGTGACACATCATTTAGTTTACAAATTTAGTCTCCATAACATTACTCTTAAGCATTACTCTTATTACTTAAGAGTAATGCTAAGGAGATCAAATTTCTAAACCAAATGATGTGGATGTGGATGATTGAATTATTACTTAAGGTTTGATTAACGTGCTTATTTTTTATTGGTGGCACATCATTTGGTTTGCAAATTTTGTTTCAAATTTTGTATCCGCAGTATTATCCCTTTCTCGTATAAGCATTCACACCAAAATTACAGAGTATGACTATCCTCTAGAATGATAACAACAATCAAATCCAGATTTTTCAAACCGAACATTTTTCCTTTTCAACGATGAATTAAGTCACCTTGATCGTTACAGAAATTGTCTTTCATGGGAAATGCATAACAATATATTTGAAACTGGTTGATCTCTTCAGATTGATTTTTAATGTGATATTCTAAATATTTTACCACGTCATGTTTTCAAAATTTAATGTCAAACTTAATAGTCACAGGCGTTCTTGCGTGACTCAATAAGGACTATTAAACAATCTTTTGATGTTCATGTGTGCATGTTCACTCTAATGAGAATCTTATTGCTACCCTACTGCAAAAGTGAAGTTTATAGACTGTAAAAATTGGAGGGAGCCAAGGTCACAAATAGGTCAAATATTTGCCTCCACTTTAAAAGAGAGACAACTAATTGTAAACTTAAGGCAACAACCACGTAAGTTGAAATAAAGGTTGAAGTGGGGTTTTAACACGTTTGAGTAATTAACTTTGTCTTTCCAGTTTATTATTCGGGTTCATCAATGTCCTAATTTTCCCTACTTGGTCCCAGATCCCTTTCGAGTGACCACACAAATCTAACATGGTGAACCTTTTCATAATTAAAACTAGGCAAGTTTCTTTTTCTTTTTTTAATTAGAGATATGTTAGGATTACATAGAGGTGAGGTTTTGAAAAAAAAAACAAAAAAAAAACAAACTTTGGTTGTGTGAAATTACATCTCTACCCCATATTTCTTATTCATGTTCTGTTTTAATTAAAGGGTTAAAATGGTAATTTCATAGGATTTTGGTTGACAATAAGTGTTTTATTAATTAGTAAAGATATGGCTAGTATGATCTCTAGCATGTCATTCAATCTTCCTTTCAATTTCAATTGAGAGTTTA